AAAAATAAAAAAGCAAACAAAAAAAACAGAACAACAATCCTATGAGACAGATACTATTTTACCTCCATTTTCTTCTTTTTTTTTTTTTAATCTCCATTTTCTAAGTAGGAAACTGAGGCCCAGAGAGTTGAGATCACATATGCAGGTTCACTGGAAAGCCTTAACCTCCAAGTGTTTCTGGGCTCCTCCTTCTCCCAACGCCCCTCCACAGGCCAGCCCAAGACTCCGGCTAACCCCCTTCTCCCCACCCCTACCCTGCAGGTGATGCGGATGACTCTGAATGTAATGACCTGGCGACGGAGGGAGATGGTGCGCTGGCTGGTCAGCTGTGCCACAGAGATTGGTGAGAGCCCCTATTCTGGTTCTGCAGAGGACACTGAGAGAACCAGGCAGACAAGAAAGAGAGAAGCAGCCCGGCGTGGTGGCTCACGCCTGTAATCCCAGCACTTTGGGAGGCCAAGGCGGGAGGATCACTTGAGCCCAGGAGTTCAAGAGCAGCCTGGGTAACATAGTGAGACCCCCATCTCTACAAAAAACTAAAAATTAGCTGGGCATGGTGGCATGTTACTGTAGTGCTAGGTGCTTGGGAGCCTGAGGCAGGAGGATCGCTTGAGCCCAGGAGGTCAATGCTGCAGTGAACCATGATCTTGCCATTGCACTCCAGCCTGGGCGTCAGAGCAAAACCTCCTCTGGAAAAAAAAAAAGAGAGAGAGAAGCAAGCCAATCATGGTCACATACCCATAGTCCAAGCCACCAGGGAGGCTGAAGTGGGAAGATCACTTGAGCCCAGGAGATCGAGGCTACAGTGAAATATGATTGTGCCACTGTACTCCAGCCTGAGTGGTGGGGTGAGACAAGGTCTCTCAAATTTTTTTTAATAAAAAGAGGGCTGGGTGCAGTGGCTCATGCCTGTAATCCTAGCACTTTGGGAGGCCGAGATGGGTGGATCACTTGAGGTCAAGAGTTTGAGACCAGCCTGGCCAACATGGCAAAACCCCCTCTCTACTAAAAATACAAAAAATGAGCCAGATGTGGTAGTGTGTTCCTGTAATTCCAGCTACTTGGGAGGCTGAGGCAGGAGAATCACTGGAACCCTGGAGACAGAGGTTGCAGTGAGCCAAGAACTCGCTACTGCGCTCCAGCCTGGGTGACAGCAAGACTCCATCTCAAAACACAGAAAAGGAAAGAGAAGCAGAGACTCTTCCCTGATTCCGGCCTGTGCTCAGGGCTTGGCTGGAAGGGAATGTCCGACCAGCCGATGGAGCTGGACAAGGGCCTAGAAGCTGGCCAGGCTACTGTGTCTGCAGAGAGCTGGTGGGGGCGGGTGAGGGGGTGTGCAGAAAGAGGCTCCAAAGCTTAGCCTTGTAGCACGTGGTTCCCACGTGGTCCAGCTGCGCCCTAATGATTTGGAAAGGAAGTTTCTGTTTAGCAGGGTGTGGAGGTAGCAGTGTCATGGTCAACCCACGCATACATGTACACGTCTCTGCCCCTCCTCCTAACGGGTTTCCCCCCTCACCTCTTACCAGGCCCACAAGCTCTGATAAATATCATGCAGAACTGGTATTCCTTATTCACACCGGTGGAGGCGGCCACCATCGTGGCCGTGACTGGGACCACACAAGCCACTCTGCTGCGACTGCAGCTGGACACGTCCCGGAGGGAGGAGCTCTGGGCCTGCGCCCGCACCCTGGCCTTGCAGTGCGCCATGAAGGACCCTCAGAACTGCGCCTTGCCTGCCCTGACCCTGTGCGAGAAGAACCACTCGGCCTTCGAGGCGGCCTACCAGATCGTGCTGGACGCAGCGGCCGGCGGCCTGGGACACGCCCACCTCTTCACTGTGGCGCGCTACATGGAGCACCGCGGGCTGCCGCTGCGGGCCTACAAGCTGGCGACGCTGGCCCTGGCGCAGCTCAGCATCGCCTTCAACCAGGACAGCCACCCTGCCGTCAACGACGTGCTTTGGGCCTGCTCGCTCAGCCACTCCCTGGGCCGGCACGAGCTCTCAGCCATCGTCCCCCTCATCATCCGCAGCATCCACTGTGCCCCAATGCTGTCCGATATTCTGCGCCGCTGGACTCTCTCGGCACCGGGCCTGGGCCCCTTAGGGGCCCGCCGGGCCGCCAAGCCACTGGGTGCCGACCGGGCGCCTCTCTGCCAGCTCCTGGACGCGGCAGTCACCGCCTACATCACCACCAGCCACTCCCGTCTCACGCACATCAGCCCGCGGCACTACGGAGACTTCATCGAATTCCTGGGCAAGGCCCGGGAGACCTTCCTGCTGGCTCCCGACGGGCACCTCCAGTTCGCCCAATTCTTGGAGAACCTTAAACAGACCTACAAGGGCAAGAAGAAACTCATGCTTTTGGTGCGGGAGCGTTTCGGTTGAGGGGCAGTGGGGTGCGTGGGAGTGGGGAGTCCTCTCGCCCCTGCGTCTCCCACCCCTCCTCTCCAATTAGGCCACGTGGCGTTTCAGTATTATGAAGTCAGGGAAGGAGCCCGGCTGGAGATGGGGAACGGGGAAGCGGCGTCCTGCCACGTGTGTGCCTGGGAGTGTGCGAGGAAGTGTGCAAGGCTCGAGAAGCAGAAGCCATACCACCTCCCAGAAGCCTGGAAGGGGTGTGTGCTTGGGCTGCTGGTATGACCCCCCTTTGGACACCCCAAAAGCAATAGGCAAATTCCCCTTACCCAGGACTGGCTTGGGCTCTGGGAGCGAGGCTGGGAGGCAGGACTTCCCAGAAATCAGCCCTCTGAGTCAATGTAGCACATCCTCCCCCGACCCCACCCTGGGTGGCCAGGGGTCTTCCCCCACCCCCTACTGCTCAGGGCCCCCCCCCTTGTGCCACCTTCAAAGTGGCTACCCAGCCAGAACCAATGCCTCACCCCCACTGAAGAATTTGAAGAGGCCTCAGGCCTCAGCCTCATACCTCACCTCCCCATTTTCTTGGGCACCAGGGTCCCAGGGTGGGCTCAGGGTTGGAGAAGTCATAGTTGCCCTCTCCTCTCACCTGCTAGTCACGGGATGTACAACTCAGGAACTGAGCGAGGCTCACACTGCCCCTCCCAACCCGGGGTCAGGGAACACAGACTGAGAGAGCCAGAGACCCCGCCCTCGATCTGGAAAGGAAAGAGACCTCCCTCTTGGCATTTTTCTGACTCTTTCCCCCTTTCTCCTCCTGTCTGTCTGCTTCGCCCTTTATCTTACTCTGTTGGCATTGTTCTCTGCATTTACCTGCCTTTGTTTCTGCACCTAAGTCCTTGCCCCCTCTCTCTTTGGCCATCCTTCTTTTCCACCACCTTGACCCAGGGTGGAGAAGGGAGACCATCGCACCCCCAGTCACCCCCACATCTTCTCCCTTCTTGTATATTAAGGACGAAAGATCATGTCATTTTGTAACTTTTTTTCTATTTATTGAACCGTATATATCCTTTTATCCTTTTGTGGGTTTTTTTTTGTTTTTTTTTAAAGATTGAACACGGCTTTTTAACTTTGAGACCGGGGTGCATCTCCAGAGCCACTCACACCCTCAACCCTGTTTCCTCCACACACACACACACACAAAATACATACATATATATATATATATATATATATATATTGCCTCATTTCTGAAGCGAGGGGTGGGATGAGAGGAACTCCTGGCTTCATTGCATGGTAATTATGTAAATTTTTTTTTTTTTTTTTTTTATGTCGCTCAGTCGCCCAGGCTGGAGTGCAGTGGCATGATCTCAGATCACTGCAATCTCCACCTCCCGGGTTCAAATGATTCTCCTGCCTCAGCCTCCCAAGTAGCTAGGATTACAGAGTGTGCCACCATGCCCTGCTAATTTTTGTATTTTCAGTAGAGACAGGGTTTTGCCATGTTGGCCAGGCTGGTCTCGAACTCCTGACCTCAGGCGATCCGCCCGCCCCAGCCTCCCAAAGTGCTGGGATGACTGGCATGAGCCACCGTGCCCGGCCTTATGTAAATATTTCAAAACAGGGATGGACAGCTCACCATGAGGGAACACAGAGCCGAATGCGGTACTGCTGTCATTTAATCGTCACGGCAGCTCTCTGAGTCGGTAGGATTATCTTTTCCATTTTAAAGATGAGAAAACAGGTTGCAAAGTGGAAAGAAAGGACACACAGCTAGGATGTTTGATTCAGGACCTGATGGCACAACTGACCCCTGCCCACCCCTGGCTGCAGGGCCCTTGAACCCTGGGAAAGGACACGATGCGGGATTGGGGGCGCCCTGTTTCCAGACACCAACATTGGGGGTCCTTGACTCCAAATTGCTGAGCATGGGAGACTGTGGGAGGTGTTGTGTGCTGCTGGATGGGGAAGACACCCCGATTAAAAGCGGGAACCTCAAGTTTAGACTCTACCTAGGTGGGCGGGGCTCTGGCCAAAGAAGAGAAGCAGAGTGGGCGTGGTTGGGGTGGTGGCGCTCGCCGGGGGGCGTGGCCAGGGCGTGTCTGCGCCGCTGAAGTGGCCTTCCAGTCCTCAGAGTGTGGAATCCAGGGGACGGCGAGAAAGCTCGTGGTTGTCTAAACGTCCCTGGCTCCCCGAGAAGCAGTTTCCTCGGGGCCTTCTTGCCTTTTGGACGAATCGACGGACTGTGTCTGGGTCACTGTCAAGGCCGGGGCAGGAGAGAACAGAGGCTTCTCGGAGGGCCTGGGCCCGCCGCTAGAGGGCAGTGGGCTCAGTCGGGGGTGGGACTTCGGCGGCGCTGGGCACAGCGATTGGCTTTTGGCACCGCCCCTCTGCTTGAGGAGACCAATTGGAGACGGCCCCACCTCCTGCCCCTCCACGCTTATTCCCGCAGGTATGTGCCGGCGAACCTGGGACTAGCCCGCGCCCCGTGGCGCCGCCTGGAGGTCTGGGACGGTGGAGGTGGGTGGAGAGCCTGGAGTGTACCCCCTTGTGGTCCCTGTGCCTCCAAATGTCGCCTTCGGACCTGGGGGACCCTTTATTACGCCCCTCAGGTGTCACTGATTTGTCATGGACCTGGGGCGTCACGCGGGTCCCCGCCACATCCAAATGTCCCTTAGGACCTGGGGTTTCCTTCATGTCACATCCTTCAAACCCAAGTTCCCCTCCAGCATTCTCAGATACCAGGCACCCCAAATCTACCCCCCGTGGGTCTGAGTAATTCTGTAGGTCCAAGTTGCCCCAAATGTCACTAGCTCAAGACCCTCAGGTCCTGGTTATCGCCACGTCACCCCTCAGGCTCAGCGTTTCCCTCAGGGTCACCTCACCCACCACCACTTCAGATCCGCTTCCATTCTCCCTTGATCAGTGATGTGGAAACCTCTCCAGTCTAGGGTTTCCCTCACCGTGACCCACAATCCAGGACACCCCCAAGGTTCACGCTTCCAAGCACAGGGCACCCTGCTGCTGTCCTCAGAGCATGTGGGGCAGGGATGGGCAGGCAGGCATCCAGAGTGCCAGCACAGTAAATTCAGGCCAAGCAAAAGCTGAAACTCCAGCAATGGGAGGCAGGAGTGAATCACAGACCAGACCTTCAGGAATGAAGTCAAGGCAACTTTTATTTACTTCAACAACAGACATGACACACAGCACAATCTCTCCTCTCCCTCGCATCCCAAGCTTCTGTCCACGCCTACCCAGGGCGGGGAAAGGGGCAACGGCCAAGCCCCGATGACCTGGGGACTTCATTGTCCCTGCTTAGTCTCATCCAGAAAAGAGCCTCCTCCCATCTGATTTCAAGATAGTAGAGAGAGGCCAGGCAGGGTGGCTCACACCTGTAATTCCAGTGCATTGGGAGGTTGAGGTGGGAGGATGGCTTGAGGCCAGGAGTTCAAGACCAGCCTGGGCAACATAGTGAGACCCCTCCCCCATCTCTAACAAAAATTAAAATTAAAATTAGCCAGGTGTGGTGGCACATACCTGTAGTCCCAGCTACTGGGGAGGCTAAGGCGGGAGGAACACTCATGCCCAGGCATTCAAGGTTGCAGTGTGCCGTGATCATACCACTGCAATCCTGCATTCCAGCCTGGCTGACAGAGCGAGAGTCTGTCATCTTTAAAAAGCCTGGCATGGTGGCTCACACCTGTAATCCCAGCACTTTGGGAGGCCAAGACAAGCAAATTGCTTGAGGTCAGGAGTTCAAGACCAAACTGGGTGACATGTTGAAACCTCCTCTCTACAAAACATTTTAAAAAATTGGCTGGGCGCAGTGGCTCACCCCTTTAATTCCAGCACTCTGGGAGGCGGGTGGGTCACCTGAGGTCAGGAGTTGAACAGCCTGGCCAACATGGCTTAACCCTATCTCTACTAAAAATAAAAAATTAACCAGGCGTGGTGGCAGGTGCCTGTAATCCCAGCTACTCGGGAGGCTGAGGGAGGAGAACTGCTTGAACCGGAGAGGTGGAGGTTGCAATGAGCTGAGACGTGCCATTGCACTCTAGCCTGGGCAACAGAGCGAGACTCCATCTCAAAAATAAATAAATAAATTAGCCAGGTGTGGTGGCGGGCGCCTGTCGTCCTCAGCTACTCAGGAGGCTGAGACAGGAGAATCATTTGAACCCGGGAGGCAGAAGTTGCAGTGAGCCAAGATGGCACCACTGCACTCCAGCCTGGTGACAGGGCAGGACTTTGTCTCCCCCCCAAAAAAAAGCAGAGTCCTAACCCTTCCCTGCCCTGAGACCCCCCGCAAGGTGGGAAGGATCAGCTATTCCCAGCTGAGTTCCCGGCGCCCCAGAACTAAGCAGACCTGCTTGTGTCCCTTCTGGCTCCGCGTGGACCCTGTTCCGTGCCCCACATGTGGGGTGGGAGTCACTGCTCCTTCTGGCCGTTAGAAAGCTACAGGGCCCAGGGAGAAGGGGCCAGGTCAGGTCAGCCCAGTCTGATTCCGGAAGCCAGGAGTTGGCATCTAACGGTCTGGAGCCCAAGGCAGCTTCCTCTTGAGTAACTGGCTGCCCCTGCCTGGCTTGGGAGAGGAGGAGCCAAGCCTCCAGGCCCAGAAGGGACACAGCTGGCTTCCCTTTTTATGGAAGGGCCACCTAAACTCACCCACCTGTCTACACTGGCACCACAGCCCAGCCTGAGCTGTGGCCATGGAGGGGTCCCCAGTTGCAGAATTGGGGAACAGGACACGCAGCAGACGTTTGGGCCCAGCCAGCCCCACCCTCCCAACCCTCCCGATGTCCCTCCTCCAGACACAGGTCTGACTCTGAGTCCTCATCTCCGCTCCACTCATCAGCCCACCCAGGGGAGGCAGGGGCTGCGGGCTCCAAGCAGGCTTGACCCCTGTTCCTGCTGAACTGAGCCAGTGTGCACAAACCAACTGTGTTTCAGCTCAGTAGGCACGGGAGGCAGAGCCCAGGGAGGCCGGGCAGCAGGACAGCAGACAGACGGGCGGCAGCAGGGGACAGGCGGCAGGGCCGGAGGAGGTGAGGGCCTGGGGGGCGGAACTTAGCCACTGTGAACATGACTTGGAGTGAACCCTGCTCACAAGCAGCTAAGCCCTGCTCCTCAGGCCAGGCACAGGCTTCGGGGCTCTCTGCCACCCCGTCCCCGGGCGGCATCCTCGGTGGCAGAGCTCAGGGTCGGTTGGAAATCCCTGGCAATGTGATTTGTGATAGGCAGCAAATCCCATCCCCAGGAACCCCAGCCGGCCATGGCACAGGGGTGAGGGGGCACTGGGCGGGGCCAGAGGCTGGCACCTGGAGGGGAGAGAGAGAGAGCAAAGGAGGTGATGAGATTTGGGGACACCCTCCCATCTAGGTCCCCAGACGGTTCCTTTCCATCACAGGGAAGCCCTTTTCTCATACGCAGGAGAACCGCATACGGACGGCAAGGTAGAGCCAGCCCCAGTGCTGGAGAGGCAGAGATACCAAGAGGGCCTGTGCATTACAAGGAGACTCCAGCAACTTACAGGACCCAGCTGCCCTTCACTGAGCCCTGGGCAGGCCAAACGGGGCCATGGGGAGAGGAAGCCGGGTGGGGGGCAGGCAGGCGGGTGAGGAAGTGATCTCACCCCAGCTGGCGCCACTTCCTAGAAGCCTGGAGGGCTGGAGGAAACCACCAGGGCCTCCCCCCGCCATGGCCCCGTCTCCTCAGTGGCCAGGGCTTAGCCCACACCCACCAGGGCGGATGCCGGCAGCAAAGCACCCCCCTCTCCCCCTAGACATGCACCCCCTGCACCCTCAGAGCACAGGATCCAAGCTCGAAGATACAGGCCTCTCCATCCAAACAGCCTGAAGTTCAAATCCCTGCTCCACAGTTTCCCAAAGACCCTTCCAAGCCTCAGTTTTCCCATCTGTAAAATGGAGCCAAGAGCCTCTCTGGCATAGCCCAGTGAGATGTCACTCAGTGCGTACGTCACTCGGTAAGTGTCCGGCACAAGGGCAGGCTACAGAATTTTCGGAACCCGGTGAAAAATGAACACATGGTCCTCTAGTTCGAAAACTAAGAATTTCAGGCCAAGCAT